CCCCCCCCCCCCCCCCCCCCCCCCCCGACCTAAGCCTGCTTCTGGCGGGGCCTAGGAGGACGCCAGCCGCCCCACCTGCCAGGCTCCTCCCCAGCTTGGAAACTCCCAGCCCTGCCCCGAAGCTCTGGTCACCAGTGCTCCTGCTTTCCAGGTGCCTGCGGCCGACAGCACCTTGAGCCAACAGGAACCATTGACATGAGAGGCCCAGGGCAGACTGACTGTGCGGTGGCCATCGGGCGGCCCCTGGGTGAGGTGGTGACCCTTCACGTCCTCGAGAGCTCCCTCAGCTGCAGTGCTGGTACGTCTCAGGCCGTGTGCACAACTGCTGTCAGGTCGCCAGGCACCGGGGAGCACGACCCCAGCCTGCCCTGCTCCTGGCAGGATGTGCTACATGCAATCCCACCTGGAATCCTCATGGCCATCCCGTGGACAGCCGTGGGATGGTCCCCATTCTACAGATGAGGAAACTGAGGTTGTGTCTGGGGACTCAGAGTCACATAAGCCGGGACGTGGGGGGACCCCGCCCGCAGCTCGGTCTACCCCAGGCCCACAGTGCTGCCAACCCTCACCACCGTGCTGCTTCCTAGGGGACATGTTGCTGCTTTGGGACAGGCTCACGTGGAGGAAGACATGCGGGAAGCTGTCTGGCATGACTTTCAGCTCCAAAACGAACACGTTGGTGGTGAGGCAGCGCCGTGTGCGTCCGGAAGGCGGGGTTGTGCTGCGGTACAGGAGCCAGCCTTCCTCGGGAACCCCCCACAGAGGTAAGGTGGGGCGCCAGAGCCTCCCCCAATCCCTGCAGGGTGGCTGGGTGGATGCTGCTGCCCACGGGGTGGCTGGCCGGGCAGAGAGGACACCGAAAAAGATGAAGGAGGACCCCACCAGCCAGCTCCCTGACCCCAGGATGAGGTCCTGTCATGTGTGCTGCGTCTCTTCCTTGCCGGGGCCTTGCAGCGACACGGGTAGACGTGGGACTCTGATGTCCTCACCCTGTTGCTCAGGCTGCCACCATGGCCCCCCGCCCTGGCCCTGGCACTCACGTCCTCCAAGACCCTTCAGGGTCCTCCGTGTGCATCTCCCGCCCCCCCCCCCCAGCCCTGTTCTGGTGCACCGTCCTCTTGGCTCAGCCCCCACAGAGCTGGTGTGCGCACACATGCTTGTACATGTCTGCACACACACAACCTCTTGGAGGGGATGGCATCCCATGGCCCCCCTAATGTCCTCCAGTAGCCCTCAGGAGGCCTCCGGGGACTTGGCCTCTCCCAACAGCCCAGGCTGGCCGAACACAACTTCCCTAGCCAGTTCAGAGGTTTCTGGGAACCCCCTGGCTTTGCCTCAACAGAGATGTGACGCCGTCCCCGCACCTCTCAGTGTGCCCTCACTGAGAGCCAGGCTTCGAGTGCCCAAGGGGCTGGCTGCCCCTTCTCACAGTTCCTCACTTCCTGGCCTCATGCACATAGGCTCTTGTTCCCTGGGGGCCCAGGGGTGCAGGCAGGTGGGGTTCCCGTGGGCTCCTAGTAATGGCAGTGGCCTTTGTAACAGGTTCAGTGTTAAGCACTTTTGCACATGCAAAGTCCTCCTGAAAACCGCTCTCCCAGGGTCGAGTCCTCCTAAAAACCACTCTCCCAGGGCATGCCATTGTTACCTTCACTCTACAGAGGGGGGACCTGGAGCGCAGAGCATTGAAAGCCTTCGCCTAGGGTCACACGGCAGAGAGTGGTAGAGGTGGGGTTCCATGACGGCTTCTGGGTGGGAGACCTGATCACGACCACACCACCATATTTCCCCCCTTCACTGCTCCCCAGCTGTGAGCTGCCCTGGCCTCTGGCATTAGTGGTCATTCTGGGGGCTCCTAGGACCTGAGGTGGTCCACACCCAGTCCATCCACCTACTCTTCTCTGCAGACTGTGACATGCAGCTCTTTGGACCCTGGGGTGAAATCGTGAGCCCCTCGATGAGTCCTGATGGGAGCAACTCGGGGGGCTGCCGCATCTTCATTAATGTGGCCCCACAGGCCCGGATTGCCATCCATGCCCTGGCCACTGATGTGGGCACGGGAACTGGTGCCAGCTACATCTCGGTAAGTCCACCAGGATGGGGACAGGAATGTGCTGACTTTTGCTGATTCTAGACAGCTGTCCCCAGGGATGGGGACCGGGGGTACTATACTAGAGGACCCCCCGAGTTTGCTCAAAAACCTCAAAATCGTTAGTGAAAGAATGGGAGAGAAGAATTTCTTCCACTGCCACCAACAAATGTTTATTGAGCTCTGCACAAGAGTGAAATAGAAAAGACCGTTTCTGATGTAGACTGTCAGTTAACCCAGGACTGAAGCGTAATTTTAAACCCTGATAAAACTTTTCCAGAAGAGTGGGCCACCCCTCCCCTGACGAGGTTCATGTGTTCTGGGAGAACTGTCCTCTGCAAGCTGTCAGCTCCCCTACTGGAGGCAGCCTGGCTTCTGGAATCCCAGCTCTGGCACCCTGGCTGTGTGTCCTTGGGGAAGTAGGACAACATCTCTGAACCTCAGTTTCCTGGGTAGAATAATAGTGTCTTCTCGATAGGGCTGTTGTGTGAAGATTAAATGTGAGCCTGACTGTGTGATGCCTTGTATATTAAAGGCTCCATGAATGCTAGCTAGTTATCATTTGTGGCTGGCCCTTTGGGGCTGCCCCTTTTCCCCTCAGATCCGGGATATCCACAGCCTGAAGACGATGACATTTCACGGGCAGCAGGCACTCTACTGGGAGTCAGAGGGAAGCCAGGCTGAGATGGAGTTTAGCCAGGGCTTCCTGGAGGCCCGTGCCAGCCTACGGGGCCAGTACTGGACCCTCCAATCTAGAGTTCAGGAGCCTGGCTGGGCCGTGTCCTAGCTTTTTCTCCAAGCACATACCTCCAGGGACCTGTGGGCACAGTGGGATGCCTCCTCTAGACCCTGGAAGAGAAAAGAAGGAGCCTGACATTTATGAGCACCTGTTAGGTGCCCGGCGAGCCCCAGAGGGTTGGCTCTGGTCTCTTGAGTGCTTTCCAGTTTGGATTTCCTCCAATCTTTAAGTGTCTCCTTTAGGACCTCCTACAACATGCAAAAGGCAGGCGGTGGAAAGTAAGGGACTGGACTCTCTGGAAAGGCAGTCTCCAGCCTCTGTACCAATAAACGGAATGTGCAGTCTGAGTAGCGTTTTCTTCACATAACCTGTCCAGTCTGGCTTGCCACCCCATGGCATTGCCGGGATTCCCTGGCAGCGGTCAGGCTCCGGACCCATTCCTGACCTGAGCAAGCCCCACGCCACCCCTAGTGGTCTTCCTTTTTGCTACCCAGGAAGGAGGGGCGAGGGACTGCGGAGTCAAGAATGGGTGCCAACCCTGGCGCCCCTGTTACTTCTCTGCGAAGCCCCGCCCCTGCGCTAGCCCGCTGGGAGGATCTGCCCACCGAGAGCGCCAGGGCCACCGCGCGCCCGCCTCCTATGCTAATGAGCGCGAGCTCTCAGGAGCACCTCGCCACCGCCCTGTGAGCCCCGCCCCTTATGCTAATGTGCGGCCGCCTCTCCCACAAGGCAGCGCGCCGGGACGACGCGGCCGGCTCCGGAGCCCTTTGTGAGGGCTGCGGGCTGCGCCAGACGGCGACACGATGAGCGGCTCGGGCGGGGCGGCGGCGGCGGCCGTCAGCTCCGCGCCGCCCGCGCAGGACGAGGGCATGACGTGGTGGTACCGCTGGCTGTGTCGCCTGTCGGGGGTGCTGGGGGCCGTCTGTGAGTACCCGGCCCGGGGGAGGGGCCGGCCCCACCGCCCACCGCCCACCGCGCATGCGTGCCCGGCCCCGCCCCTCTGGCGCGCCCCCGCGGGGAGGGGCTGGGTGGGCGTGATGGGGCTCTGCGGGGCGCGCGCGGAGCTGTCGCCTGGCGGTTGCTATGGTTACCGGCCGCGCGGCCGGGCGGCTCCCGGGAAGTTCCAGGAGGGAAAGTGAGCTCCCGCGGCCAAGTCGCTGCCCCCCGCCGCGTCCGAGCCCGAGGACAGCGCGGCCTTTGAGTCGGCGGCGGGGCGGGGCGGGGGGGGGCGCTTTCCGAAACTTCCCAGATGCCGCTCGCCGGGCGCCCGCTCAGCCCGGCCCGGAGGCAGCCTCACCGGTCGACTTGCGCGTGGGTGGGGGCGCCAGCCGTCTTAATTTTTGGACGAAGGTTATTGATACGTGGGGCGGATGGTGCCAGGGGATAAGCCATCCCCAAGGGAGGGCCGGGCATTGAGCCGAGGGGACGCGGCCTCTCATCTGGGTCCTCACTGTCCATCCAGAGGCCACCCTTTGCTGGCCGCTCTGCCTCAGCCGCCTCTCCTCTCCCCTCCTCGTTCCGCCCCAGCGCCATCGCCAACACACATCCTGACACACCCCCGAAAGAACATGAACAGGAGACAGACCTGCGACAGAAGGAAGGCAGATACGCGTCTAGTTTGTTTGGTCTGCTCTCCTCTCCTCTGCCTGCGGCCCTCCACTTTGGGAATTGCTGGAGGAGAGGGCACCTCCCCTGGACTTGAACTAGTGCCCGCCTGGCACGGAGGGCTGGGGCAGGGCAGATCCTGATCAAGTCTGCCGGAAGGAACACCTTTCAGAATCCCCTTCCAGCGCCACAGTCCTGCCGGGTGGGTGGACGCTGGGAGGACGTTCAGGAGTGCAGGGGTGGGAGCGTGGGGCTCAGGCAGGGCATGGCCTTGTCCAGAGCTGATAATGGGACGTGCCCCTGAGTCCCGTCTCACTGCCCCGTCCCACTGTGTCAATGCTGGTGGAGCAAGCATGTTTTTGACTCTGGAGAGACTGCTGGCTCGAGGTCAGGCCTTCGATAAGATCCTCTCAAGTTTGGTTAGCTGTTTTCCTTGCAGATCAGAGTGGGGTCCTGCAGCGAGTGACAGTGGTCAGTGGGAGAGAAAGGAAAGGTTCTGACGGTGGCCTGTGGGCTGTCACCTTCCCACTCTCTTGGATTCAGCAGCCCTGCTGACTCCCTGGTTCACCCTGGTATCCCATGCAGTTCTGTGTCTCTCAAAGTGGGGTACCTGGGCTGCCCCAGGACTTCATGGTGTTGGGGCTACAGATGAAGCACCAGGAGAGGCTTGTGGCATCCCCCTGAAATGTCAGTTTCACCTAAAGCCTGGTGGGAGGGGATTGTTATGCAGACACCAAGTAGTATACCACGGGAGGGCGCAAAGCACACAAGAGTTTTTGGGATGAGGGGCGCCTGGCTGGCGCAGTTGGTGGCGTGTGCAACTCTTGCTGTTGGGGTTGTGAGGTCAAGCCCCACGTTGGGTGTAGACATTACTTAGAAATAAAATCTTAAAAAAAAAAAAAAGGCTTAGGGATGAAACAGGAATTCAGATAAGGGTTGTGCTTCTGGTCGGTCACTTCAGGGTAGGGTTGCCCTCCTGGCCGGTGGGGGCCTTGGAGAGGCATTTATTCAGGGTCCTGACAGTCATGTAGAGGCCTTCCTCACTTAGCAAGAACACTGGAAACTCCAGGGGCATTTTCCAGCCTTGATTGTTATGGGGCTCCTGGCTGGAGCCTTTCTGTTTGGGTTGAAACCTGGTTCTCCCCCAAGGTTGGCTGTTGGTAGGACAGTGTGGGGAGGGCCAGAGGTGGAGGCGAAATGCTGGCTGCCGCAGGTGTAGACTGCTGTCAGGGGAGCCCAGGCACAGCCAAGAGCCAGGCAGAAGCAGCGCTGTGTTGCGGGCACTCACGTCTTGGCCCTGGGGGGCCTTGCTGCCTGAAAGCCTATGTGCCATGTCCAAGGGGAGTGCCGCCTTTTTAGTAGGCAGAATGTGCCTCTGTCCTTTTAGGAGACCTGGGGGACACACGAGGGCAGTCCCTCTGCAGTTTGGGCTCACTTCGTCTGGTTTCCTCCTCCGCCGCCTGCAGCCTGCATAGGGTTACAAGGGAAAACAACAGAATTCCAGGCCCAGCCAGGGATCAGGTACAGAGGTTTAATATTTAATGAACTGGTGGCTAATTGCTGCCTCGGGGCCCAGCTTTTAGCCCCACCCCAGCTAGGGCCCAGGCTGGGTGCCAAGCTGGGTGCTGGACTGGGAGCCAGGGCCCCGGAAGTGCCTGGCTGGCATGGGGAGTTCTGGGAGAAGTGGGCCCCAGAGGCAGCTGGTGTGCGCAGAGGCAGAGGCGGGCCTGGCACACCCTGCCCGTGGGGCGCAGTCAGGAGCGCAGGGCCAGGCTCCACTTTTGGGGCATCGGGGCCTGGTGTTTCAGGGGTGGGTGGCCCGGACTGTGGCACTTGCCTGTGTGCAGGAGAGAAAACGCCTAAAACAGTGGTGAGGACATCTTAGCTGTGTGCAAGTCACAGCTGACATGGTCACCCAGGGCTGCCTGGTCCTGATTTCTGTTCCGGGAGAGGCCGCTCTTGCCCCAACCAAAATCCAAGCCACATTTTCTGTGTCAGAGTGCTTCTTGTGTGGCCAGCCCTGCGAATGGTGGCGCCTGCCTGGCCTGAGCCCTCCAGACTCTTCTCTCTTTTCATCCTCAGTACCTTGCAGTGGGTACGGGTACGGCTGGGGTTCAGAGGCCAGCCGTGCATTGGATAGAGGGTGAGACGCCCGCCAAGCCAGCTAGCCACAGCCCTGCTGTGGGGCCTGGTACCAGCCGCTTCCCCTCTCTGAGCCTGCGTCCTCATCCGGGATGCCGAGCAGTTACATCGGTCTCCCTTGTCTCGGATGGCAGAGGGGAGACTTGTAGGTGCTGTTGGGGGAGGCAGGTGTCGGGTGTCGGAAGGGGTCTGCTGGGGGTTCTTCCCGGCAGGCTCTGTCCCTTCCTCTCTGCTGATTCCTGCTCCTGTCTCGCTTCCAAGCTTGCGCCATCTCGGGCCTCTTCAACTGCATCACCATCCACCCTCTGAACATCGCGGCCGGCGTGTGGATGATGTGAGTAGCCTCGTGACTATCTTGCCCGGTGGGGCTGGGGGTCGCCATGCAGGGCTTCACCTCCTTCATACCCTGCCATGTTCCGTTTTCCTGATTCTCTGTAGGGCCAGGCCAGGGGCACCCCCACCCAGGCCTTTGTTGGGTTTAGGGCTGAGGTCACAAACGTGTCCTGAGTGTCCACTGAGCCAGACTCTGCCGGCACCATGTACACTACCACGGGCCTGGCCTCTGGGAGCTCTGGGGGCCATCAGGGCCGGTCGAGGATTGAATTGGAGGCTTGGTGTCTGGTGGGTTTGGAGCCCAGTGCTGGGATCTGGAGCTCCAGCTCGGAGGTGGGCAAGCCACAGACCAGGCAGATTAGAGCTGGTGCGGGATCAGGTGGTTAGAATGCCCTAGATGAATTCCTTGCCCGCCTCCTGCCGGGGTAGCTCGTTCCTGTGGGAGGGGAAGGCAGGGAGTGAGCACTGGCCAGTGCAGCTCTGGCCGCATCTGAGCCACGCAGCGCACATGAGAGGTGGCCGTGCACCAGGCATTGCCTGTGCCCGCGTGGGACCTGGCCGGGGAGGGGCACGGAGATGGACAGGGTGGGGCCCTGCCCCCAGAGAACTCAGGCCAGGGCAGAGGCTTGCTGGGGTGGGGCCCAGAGACACATGGGGGATTGGGGGGTTAGGGCACTGGGCCGAGGCTTCAGTGGGCTGAGTCAGGAGACAGGCTGGCCTGGCTGTGGAAGGGCTGGGAGGATGGACCTGTACAGGAGGCTGGGGAGAGCCAGGGGTGGAGGGATGTGGGTTGTGCAGAGTCCCTGCTCTGGGCTCAGGTGGGCTCCTGGGTCACCCGCAGCTTGAGTTTCTGTCAGACGTAGGTAATGAGGGCCCTGGTGTCTGTTACTGTGACCCAGGCATGGAGAACACAAAGACTGGAGCAGACCCCTCAGTCTGTCCCCGCGGGTTAGCTGTCCCCAGCCCGAATACAGGAAGGCGGGGGGAGGGGGGAGAACACTGCACCGCAGGGCTTGCTAAGCTCCCGCCTCCCTGTGTGGCCTTGCCAAGGGTCAGCCCTCAGTGACCGTGGACTGACTGACCCACTCCTGGCCATCTTGGTGGATGAGCCGCTGCTGGGGACAGCTTTCCCAGTGCTGATGGCCACATGGATGACAGGGGTGATCATGCTAGTAGCCGAGTGGCAGCTGGCTCTCTGCCCAGTGTGGGCTCTCTGCCCACTCTGCCCTCTGTGTGGAGGGACTCACTGCATGCTTACGGCAGCGCCGTGATGCAGGGGGTTTTGTCTCCTTCAAAGACAGAGGGATAAAGGGAAGACCAGATTCTTCCTCCAGAGCATTCATTTCGGTTAGAGAGGCTAGTGTGTGGGCAGTGGTTCAGCAGAGGCCCTGAGAGGGAGACGTTGGGGGGCGGGAGGAGGCATTCTGGTGCTGGGCATTGGGGTCCCCCCATATCCCCAGGCCTGTCAGCCTGCCCCTCTCTTTTTTTGCCCTCCAGCATGAATGCTTTCATCCTGTTGCTCTGCGAGGCGCCCTTCTGCTGCCAGTTCATTGAGTTTGCGAACACGGTGGCGGAGAAGGTGGACCGGCTGCGCTCCTGGCAGAAGGCTGTCTTCTACTGCGGGTGAGGGGCCCCGGGACAGGCGGTGGGGACGTCGAACCCTCCAGGGCCCCTGACACGGTTTCCCAAGACTCAAGGACCCGAAGGGCAGGCAATAGGTAGTGGCCGGCGCGTGGGGGAGACTGTCAGCGAGGGTGAGGCGAGGAGAGCCTTGCACAGAGCCCTCTGGTGATGGCCGTTGTGAAGTGTGACCCGCGATGGCGCGGCGGGGGAGCGAGCCCACCGCTGCAGTCTTCTGCACTTCAGACGTGGGGTGCGGGTGCCCCGTGGCCTGCTGTGTGATAGAGAAAAGTGAGCAGCGCTTGGGATGTTGGCCCATCATTTGGGAGTTGTTAACTAGATTCTGGTAGGTTCATAGAATGTGTTTGTGGGCAGCCTTTCAAGAGTGTGGCCTGTCCAGGTGCCCTGACATGAGGGCGGGTTACAGAACAGAAACGGTCGCCTTCCTATATGCTTTCCTTTGATTTTCCCACTTCTAACAACAGATTCTGTATGCAGCCCTGTCCACCTGAGTCATGAGGTTGAACTAATTTCAGGATGTATCTAACACCCAGAAGCTTCTAGAACAGCGCTGGTGCAGAGGAGGCCCTCAGCAGCTTCTGGTAGCAACAGCAGTAGTTACTAGGATTTAGGTTATCTTTGAAATGAAAGCGGAGATGTTTAGTGGAGGCCAGTGGTTTTGACAGCACCAGATACATATTCTTTCCGTTCTGGAGCGACTTCCCACTGGGTCTCCACCACAGAGTAATACAGGATCACAGAGCACTGCCTGTCATCCGGTCCTTTGCCGTGACCTTTACTTTTAAGAAATGTATTTTAAAAATACTAACAGTAACATGCATTCATTAAAAATGATTTGGAAAATATTAAAGCCCCACTGCTTGGAACGTTTCGGTAGGTAAGTTTTGGTCTGCTACTCTGCCGGCGGCTTTTTAAGCCTGTTTCTGACGTGGTTATAACCATTCTAAGTGAATTTGTATCCTGCTTTTTTTCATTTCATATCGTGATATAAACATTTTCAGGATCACCACAAAGACTTTATGATGTTACTTTTAATGATGGGAATATTTATTCCACTGTGTTCATCATGCTTTTTCTTAATTTGTAAACTGTGGTGCAAATCAAATCAAACCGTGATAACCTGCGATGTGCCAAAGCTTTTTCTGTGATGCTTTTCTTAGGATATGTTTCCAGATGTGCACTTACTAGGTCAGAGATCAGTCATTGAAAAGGCTTCAGTACATGACTACCTTGCTTTCGAGTTTCTGCCACCTCTCCAGCCTCCCAGTGTTGTGCACCATTTTACATTTGTGTCCGTTGTCTAGGAGGTGAGATGTTTTTCCAGACGGCTTTGCTAACTGCATTTTCTTTTTTGGAAATGGTCTGGTTTACTTTTTACCTTTTGGCATCTTAATGTTTTACTTAGTAAGTTCTGCGTTTCCTGTAGTGAGGATTTCTCAGTCCTTTGTTATATTTTCCGCAAATATTTCTCCAGCCTGTGTGTCTTTGTTTTGACTGAAGATTTTCCCCCATGGTCATTTCTGTTATTCTCTTATTACCTAGAAATTTTATGACCACAGTCAAACCTCACATCACTTGTCCTGCCTGAATAGAGTCAGGTGGAATTCATCTGGTGGTCCAGTCTTATCTTCTTTGTGTGCAGGCTGCGTGTGGGCAGGGGAGGCCTCTGGGCAGACAGCCTGGCCCAGGGAAGCGACAGGACAGAGTGCTGGTCCTCCAGGCGCAGTATATTCCTGGCGGGGGTAACCTAGCCGCCACCCTGGTCTGGGAATCCCTGCCAGAATCTATAGAGTCAGCCCCATGGCTACTCAAGCCAGAGCAGACACCTGCCATCAGGTGGCGCCAGACGGAGGTCGGGACCAGAGGGAGCTGGAGCTGCTCCCGCTGGGAACCTGGCAAGCAGGAAACCCCCATGCCTTATGCAGTTGAAGCTTTGGGTTCTTTCGTGGTGAGACATGGCCGGTTTTACTGCAGAACAAAGAGCTTCCATGTATTTGGTGCTGATGCTGTTCCGGGCATTGTGCAGTGTCTAACACGGGAGGAGTTCAGGGACTTGCTGAGTCACAAAGCTACTAGGGGGTGGACTGACATGTGATTTTCTGGTCGGCCTGTTTTATGGACAGGGAGGGCAGACTATCCCAGTACTGTTTCACCCTTTGTGTGCCACAGACCCTGTCAACGATCTGATGAAGGCTTTACGTCTTCTCCCCGGAAAATACACAGAATTTCGCAGACAAGTGTCTGTGTGTCTAAGGACTTTCTGAAGCCTGGCTGTAAACCTGTGTCCGGACTGATTTCTCGGGACCCTTCCTGCACCTGGTGTCTGGGGAGGGGGCCTGGAAGTGGCGAGGCCGCCGCAGGGCAGGAGTACCCCCTGACCTCTGCCTCTCTCATAGGATGGCCGTCATTCCCGTCGCCATCAGCCTGACCCTGACCGCGCTGCTGGGCAATGCCATTGCGTTCGCCACCGGGGTGTTGTATGGACTCTCTGCTCTGGGCAAGAAGTGCGTGTGCCTCTCCTGGCCCCCCGGGGGGAATCTTGACATCCTGCCGCCTGAAAGTCTCTCGGGGAGGAGGGTCTGGGAGGGGCCCCGTTACCCCTCTGCGGACACGGAGGCACAGACGCTGTCAGCGTCCTCAGGGTGTTCAGCTCTAGGGGACAGGAGCGTGAGGGCTCGTGGACTTCTGCTGGCCTGGCCGTACCTCGCCGCAGCCCATCGTGGGGCTGGCAGGCCTGTGGCTCGGGAGAGCCTCTTCCTCTGCCCTCAGAGCCTGGACTGCAACTCTGAATCCTTCTCCACCCAGCACCCCAGGCAGCCCGTGCCACTCTTAGAGGGGACATGTCTGCCATCCTAGCAGCAGGGTGTCTGGGGAAACCAGAGCCCAGTAGGGTGTCCCTGCGGGTCGTGCCTCGGTCACAGGCCAGGAATCTAGTGGTGGCTGGGAGGGCTCTGTGCCTGGGGTCTTTCCCCCTGTGACGCTGACTCGCTCTCTCCCCAGGGGTGATGCCATCTCCTACGCCAGGATCCAGCAGCAGAAGCAGCAGGGGGATGAGGAGAAGCTCACGGACACCCTGGAGGGGGAGCTGTAATGTGAGCTTCCGGCTTGCTCCTGTGGTTCTGTGTGGACACGCCCTGCAGGGATGAGGCCTGGAGCATTGACCCTGAAGGACAGCCTGGAAGAGGAGCCTTTGCCTGGCTCCCATCAGCCCCTCTACCCCTGTCCCTACACCTGGAGTCGTCTTCTGTCTTCTCCTTTCTCTAGCTTGGTGTCTCCTGGCCCTGGGCCTCGGCCAGCAGGAAGGAGACTGGCAGTGACAGCAGGCAGCCCCAGGGGTGACCCAGGCCGCAGGGCTGGAGGCAGAGCAGAGCCTGGCCCCACGCACAGCTGGCCTGGCTCAGCCGGAAACAGGCCACCATGTGCGTTTCCAGACTCCCACTGCTAGCAGAGCCATTGGGGATCTGCTGGACGCTGGGAGGAGCTTCCCCCAGAGATGCTGGGCCCGGGCATTGGGCAGAGGGAGCCTCCTCTTGGCTCTCCAGGTAGGAAAGTATGCTGTAGGCTGAGCCACCTGGCCCCCTCTGTCCACCTGTCATCGGGAGGGAGCGGTGCCCTGCTGCCCATGGTCTGCCGCTGCCCAGGCCCCTCCCTGCGTCTCTGTTCTCTGTGGGAGCTCACAGCACTCCCAAGATGCTTCTAGAGGACCCAGCACAGCAGCCTTGGCAGCAGCTGGACAGCCGGGGAGTGCTCCCTCCCCCAGCTCCCTGGAAGCTTGGACAAGCCGTTCCAGGATACTTCTCATGGGCCTGGCCCTGGCCCCGGGCCCCAGGTTCTCCCCCCAGCCCCCAAGGCCCTGGTGCTAAGGAAGTGGGGAGGGCAGGCTCTCCTCTCCCATGGGGCTGTTTGTCCACCTCTCTGGTGTGGTCCTGCCATGTTAGCAGTGGCCTAAGTCCAGTTAGTAAGGTTAAGCTCGACCCACCGGTGTTGCTGCCGGCCTGCCCCCGACCCTGCCTTCAGGGAGTTTCTTGCCTTTGAGAGCTGGGCAGAGGCCAGAGCTGCCTCCACCACCATGAACTGTACCCAGGCCACCTGGGAACAAAGCCTGTGTGGGGGGCGTGAGGAGGCGGCCCTGCCTGGGCTGTGCACCGTCTCCCCTGGCCTCCTTCCATGCCAGTGTTCCTGTGTCCCCCGTGTATGTCCGCCTCAGCCCGCTGACGGCTCCGCTCACCGGACTTGCCCCCAGCTGCTAGGCCCATCTGATGGGACCTGACCGAGCCCAGGTGGCACTGGGCAGAAATGGGCGGTGTGGAAAAGGCTCCATCTGGGGCCCAGCTCTGCTCTTCCTTCTCCCAGGACCCTGGCAGTGCCTGCTCACGGCCCCGAGCTCAGCCCCAGTCCTGCTTTGTTGGAAACAGCCCTCGGGCTGTGTCCAGATCCTTGCTTCCCAGAGGGTGCGCTCCTCTCGGGGCCTTGTTAGTGTTGGACAGCAGGAGGGGCAGTTACTGTCCTGGGGACACATCCCAGGGCTCCTGGTCAGCAGTGGCCCCCAGCGGCCTTCCAAGGAGCCTGACCAGGCTGGGCCCCCGGGTGGCAAGGGCACTACAGCGTGGCTGGCCTGGTGGGACACGTGCCTTCGGGGGTCCTCTGGGACCACCCATCTCAAACAAGCGCTGGGTTCAAAGGGCTCTGGGCTCTAGACCTCTCCGGGCGGGTGGGCGTGTGTGTGTGCTTGTCTTCTGTGTCTGCCGTGCGTGTGTGTGTGTGTCTTCTGCGTGTGTTGTAAGACCTGTCTACCTCCCAAGAGGAGCACCCCTCTTGGTTCATTCTTATCCAGGAAGTGGGACGTGAGGGTCACTCCGGCCCCTGCGGCAGGGGCCTTGATGGCGGGGGCTTCCTTCTGCAGGAGGAGAGGGGCTGGCTGTGTGTCCGGGAAGGTTGCACCTCTACTCTGTCAGGAAGTCGGGTGGGTGTCGGGTGGGTGCTAGAGGCAGGCGCAGGGGTGGGAGTGCCCTCCAACCCCTCAGTCACCGGCCAGGTTGGACCCGAGGTTCCCACCAAGTAGGGCTAAGCAATCCTGGAGCAGTGACCCCATCCCTCAGTGTGGGGTGCCGCCTCACAAGGAACATCTGTCCAGGTCGCAGAAGGGGCTGGGCCTCCAGGTTCCATTCCTGCCTCCGCGGGTCTGGACTCTCTTGTCTTGGGGCCCTCACTTTCTCAGTGTTTAGCGTGCATTTTGAGCAATAAAGCCTGGCGGGAGTTTGTATGCTCGCTCATGCACTCTGCCTCTTCCCTCCAATCCCCACCCCTGCTGCCATAAGCAAGCACGCTGGGACCACTGGCCCTGGGAGTAACTGCCATTTTATTGAGGACCTTCTGTGCGGCTGGCCCTGTCCCATTCCTGCTCACAGCATCTCAGACGAGGAATGTGGTTTGCCGAGGTCACACAGCTGGGAAGGGCTGAGCCTGTGGGACAGAGCCATCCTGCGGCCAGGCTCTTCCCCGCAGGCTGCCTTGCCCCTTCCCTCTGCCTTACTGTGGACAGGTCGGGGGTGGTGGGAGGGGGCCTTGCCTAGGGCAGCAGGCCCTGGCAACCTTGGCTGAGAGTTTGGGTCTAGCCAAACCTGGCTGCTGGGTGGGCTCCCCCACCTGCAATAGACCCCATCCTGCCACAGGGTGAACATGGTTTGCAGACAGGAGCACTTGAGCCCCGTTTCGAGGTTGGGTGGGTGCAGGAGGAAGTGTCTGTGCTGTGTCTTGGGCCCTGGCCTTTGGGAGTCTAGAATGTTCCCCGTAGTACCCATAAGCTTTTAGAAGTACAGATCTGTCTTCCTCCCTGTAGTCAAGTTGTTCCATGGTGACTAAGCGGATCAGAACAAAATGGCACGATGACGTCCCTGTGTGGAGCCATCCACCATCTCCCACCCTGTGCTCTCTCGTTCTAGCCCTCTGTGGGCGCATCCTCTGCACCTAAGTAAGGAACCAGGCCACAGGTCAGCCAGCAGGGCCTTGTCCGGCCTCTGGGCCGTGTGCTCCCCTGTGACCCACGGCTGCCTCCTCTGCCGGTGCGTCTTGGCCGATGAGCGTGCAACACGGCAGGCTGCCTGAGCTGGGGCCCAGGATGGAGAGGGGGCTGCCTGCCCAGAGCCGGAACGTGCCCTGTTAGGGCCCTGCCATGCTTCTGTCTGGTCCTCCTGTGCTCTGTCCGATGACAGATTGCTGCTGCCTTCTGGGCTCGGCGTGCAGGTTCGTGGCCAGCGCAGAGGCCCTGCACCCAGTGGTTTGGCCCCCCCTGGGCGGGGACCCTCACCTAGTGCAGGAAGGACCTCCTCCCGGTACGGAAGAAGGACTCAATCTGCTCCAGCGACCGGCCCTTGGTCTCAGGCACCCAGCAGCCAGTGAACACCAGGCTGGCCAAGCAGATGGCAGCGAAGAAGAAGAAAGGCACGTGGAGGCCGAAGGCGTTCTGGGGGTATGGAGGGGATGCCTGGTCACATGGGGTTCCCGGGGCCCTTCTAGTGTTAGCCAGCTTTGAGGGGCCTTCCCCTTATTCCCCTGCTCAGGGGTCTCCCTAGGCTCCTCACTGCCTCCCGCATGAGATGCAAATGCTTTAGCATGGCCCGCCCTGGCCCGGAGCTCTGGCCTCAGCCTCGGCTCAGGCAGCCACCTCTCTCCCACCTGCAGGAGGTCTGCATCCCCTAGCCTGGTGGGAGCGAGCTCCTGTGTTTCTGGAGCCATCGCACACGTCCTTGTGCCCTGCCCCAAGCTCATCCGCACCTCTCTGCCAGAGCTGTGCATACTACGTGTGCTCCCCAGCCCTGCCCTGACCTGCTGGCTACACCAGGGGCGGCCCTGGCCCTGGCTGCCCCAGTCACACTGTCCCTCCCAGGAGCTGGGAACGAGATTCTGGTTGGCTTCAGGGCTTGTTGGGGGTCTGAACCAGGAGTGGGGAGAAGGGCACATAGCGCCCTATGTGGGCTGGCCAGCAGGGGCCCTGCCGGGAGACCCAGACTGCTACCCAGAGAGAAGGCCCTCTGGGCTCGCTTGTCCTGGCCCGGGAGTACCTGTGGGACACTCCGAGGACTTGACCGAGAAGCCCCACCCGAGTTACTCACCACCACCAGCAGGAAGGACTTGGTGAGGGCAAAGGCCGTGAGCCAGCTGACAAGCACGCAGAGCCCCGAGGCCACACCACGGGCTTGCAGGGGCAGGATCTCTGACATGAGGAGCCAGGTGATGGGCCCCCAGCCCATGGCGTAGCCTGCCAACAGAGGGGACGAGGGGCCTCTGCTGCCTGCACGGAGCTGCCAAGACCCCTGGGTCGCCAACCCCGCTGACACACCAGGACAGCGGCGCCCCGCCCATGCCCTAGCAGGGCCCTCACACCGAGCACAAGCCAGCCCCCCTCTGGCTGGCCATCAGCCTCCCGAGCCCTCAGCCCAGTGCAGTCACTGCACACCTACCCATGATGAAGAGCATGGTGGCCACCAGGGGCAAGAGGGTGAGGTAGCTGGAGGGGGTGGCCAGGGGCTGCTCTGTGTCCCCCAAGGGCACACTCTGGAGGCCCATGGTGCTCATGGTGCTGTTGGGAGTCAGAGGCTTCGGACCGAGGTGGACGTACAGCCCCAGTGTCAGGTTGGCCGCAAACATAATGGTGGCTGTGGACAGACAGGTGGCCCTCGGCGGGGTGGGGGCCAAGACCCTCTGAGCTGGGTGCTTCCTCTGCATAGCCCCTCAGCACCCTGTGCCCTACGCGGGCCGGTTCTCATCCAGGCGGCCGCCATGGCCGTGACCAGACGCTTCCTGCAGAGCAGCAAGCTCTGCCTGCCTGCGTTTGAGCTTCCGTCACGCTGTGGCCCCCTCAGGCCTTCCCGCCGCAGCGGGTGTGTGCCAGGCCCTGTGCTGGGCGCGGGGAGGCAGGGCCCACAGGGCAGATGGGATGACCCCGCGCCCCACCCTGGAGCTCCCAGCCACAGTGTGCCCTGTGTGGGCTGGCGCACCACCGTCAGCTGTGGGAGGAGGCGGCGAGTGCTCACCTGAGATGAAGAGCAGAACCTTGCGGCCAGCCAGGTCCATGGTGAGGGCGGCGATCAGCACGGAGAAGAGCCTCACGGCCCCCACAATGGCCGCATCATCCTTCGGGGGCTGCAGGGGGGAAGCCGCCGGGCCTGAGGGGCTCCAGCTTGCTGCTCCTGTCCCACCCGCCCCCGAACAAGGGGCCGCGGGATGCTCCGGTCCCAGGCTGTGGCCACAGCTCCTTTGGAGCACTGAGCTGCTGAGCAGGCACTATGTGCCAGGCACTTCCTCCAGTCACCCGGCCCAGCCTGCCGCCCCCGCCCCCGGGCCAGCATGGGATCCAGGTGCCACAATGACTTGTGGGACTGCGCTGTCACTAGTATCTTTCAATCCCCTCTCCCTCTGAGCCCAGGACCGGCCAGCGCAGGCACACCCTCTAATCTCCCGTCTACAGAAGCGGAAGCTGAGGTTTGGAGGGAAGGGACTTCCCTCTGAGCGGCAGATGCTCTGAACCTGGGGTCCGTGACCCACAAGGGCTCCGCACTTCTAGACAATGGGTTCCTTTGGAATCCTGGATATTTTAAAATATATAAGTTCACTTATAAACACTATTCTGAGAATGGGGGCATGGCACAAAACCAGCTAGGAGATCCTGGCGGGCTCCACAGGGCACATGCACCCCTGACACGTGGCACAGGGCAGGTGCTCAGTAAGGGACGGCCTCCCAGATGCCGGGGGCAGAACTGGGTGGTGTGGGGTTGGGCTCTCACCAGAAGGACGGCAGTGCTTTCGAAGATGGGCTGCAGGTAGACGAGGATGGGCGTGATGCCCATCAGTTGCTGCAGGAAGCGCATCAGCAAGGCAATGAGGATGGGTCGGTACATGTGGGGGTTCCGAGCCTCGGCCCACGACATGTGGGTGCTCTAGAAACATGAAGCTGCCACTGGGGGGGAGCTGTGCCGGCCCCTTCAGCAGGCACCACCCTGCCCTGGGTTGCATGGGGCTGGGTAGGAGACTCCCTCCTCCCTTCCCCTAGGAAAGACCCTGTGCCGGGAGGCAGTCCAGGCCATGCACGGGCCTGGGGGACCCCCGCCCGAACCCCAGGCTCTTGGATGAGCGGGTGGGTCAAGGCAGATTTTTGCTTGTAAGGGTCTCTGTGTGCCCAGGCATCGGCAGCACGGAGCACGTGCTCTAGGTCAAGTGTGGCAATATCTCCCCTCCCCCTGGTTCTTGGAGGTGGGAGCTGCTCTTATCCCCGTTCCCCAGGAAAAGCAACCAAGGCTCAGATAGACCTAGCGGCTGGCTGCAGCCACAGGGCGCTCTGCACCCCGACCCTCCCACACCTGTCTGCGGATGTTGTCCTGGATCTGCTGGAACTCCCAGCGGATGTCGGTGTCGGCCCCACGGAGCCAGGCCAGCGCCCTCAGGGCCTCCGTGTCCCTGCCCCGTGAGAGCAGGAAACGAGGGGAGTTGGGCATGAAGCTGAGCAGCAGGATCATGATGAGCACGGGCCCTTCTCCGGCCACAGCCAGCCAGCGCCACGGCAGCAGGAGGCCTGGAGGCAAGGATGGGGTGAGGAGCTGGGGTCCAGGCCGGACAGAGTCCCCTCCCGTCGAGGCCTCTGAGCAACCTTATCTGTCCTCAAGGGCTAGGCCCAGGGCCACCTCCCACAGGAAGCCTACCCTGGTTGCCCCAAGCCTTTGTGATTTAGACCAGGAGGGGCCCCAGGGATTGCTTGGCCCCAGCACTGGGCCCAGCACATAGAAGGAGGTCCTTGGAGGGTCTCAAGGGCCATGGCAGGGTGATAGAGGGGTAGCCTGAGCAGGCAAGCCCCCAGGCTTCTACCCCAAATCCCCACCCCATCTCAACCAGATGGGCTCTGATCTCTTTTCTATATGGACTTCCCATATGGCCAGAGAGAGGCAGAGTAGTGCCTAGATGTACACAGCACAGTGGTATCTTGTCCCCCAGCTGGGGTTTGTTTTGGGGCATGTTCACTGCCTTTCCAACCCTGTCTGCTCCCCCGCCTGCACACAGGAGGTGCTCAGTGCTCATTTGGATGATACTTGCCAAGGGCGTAGAGGGACAGAGATCCGAACACTGCCATGAGCTGGGGCGTGGCCCCGAGGGCCCCACGAACACTCGGGGTAGCAATCTCAGACACGTACACCTGCAAGACACATCAGCCCACCCAGGGCCTTTGGTGAGATTTAGGCTCCTGGGCCTGGGTAAGATGGGAGAGGTGGCCCCGGTGAACCTTGGGAAGTGACGAGTGGGGGCTTCTGATGGGGCTCTTGTCCCGATTGTGACTCCATCCATTTCCCTAACCATTAAGTGGGCGGACGCACTCACCTTTGAAACGGGCAGCATGAGGTGGGGAGGTGGGAGGCCCACAGGCACCCGGTCTCGGCTCCTCCCGGGCATCCCTAGCCCCCTGCTGGCCTTGCCCTGGCCCCTGACAGGGTGTGTGTGTAGCTGTGGGAGGAGTCCTAGGCAGGGGAGAGACTTCCCCTTGCCCCATTGCTCAACGCAGGTTTTCTTCAGTTGAGCAATGTGTCTGACTTTCGGGAAATGGGGTGGGAACTTGAAGGAGTCCAAAGTGAGGTTGGCTGGGGATGTGGGGACAGATTAGCTGCCCTGCTGCAGGTGAGCTAAGGCTCCCCGGCAAACATATCTCCACTGACTGGGGGGCTCGGCAGGGGGGCGGGGCCGGGAGACTTTAACCACATGGTGGTTAGCACAGTGCTGAGGCAGTGAGGGGACAGGGGTGGGCAGTCCTGGCCTTACCGGGATGCAGGCAGCAGTGAGCCCCCCAGCGAAGCCTGTCAGCGTCCTCCCCAGCAGCAGCATCCAGAAGCCGTGGGCACCTGCCATGAGCGCGTAGCCGGCTGCTGATGGTACAGCGGAGAACATGATGCTGAGCTTCCGGCCCAGGAGGTCGTTGAGAACCATAGCACTGAGGCCCCCAGCTGCCGCACCCAAGGTGAATACGGACTGCAGGAAAAGGGTGGAGGGCAGACATGTGTGGGCACCCAACCCTCCTAGCCCCCATCAGAGCCTAGGGGCAGCTGCTTTTCCAGGCTGATCGTGAGATCCCTGCCTACAGGATCCAGGCTCTGACTGATAGTGAGCCTCCTGTCTCCAGAGGTGTGCAAGCATCATGTGCACAACCCTTTGTTAGAGATGCCACCATGGGGAGTCCTGCTCTGGGGAGTAATGTGGGGCCACCTCCCCATAGTGGTTCAGCTCAGCTGAATGTTTAAATGTCTAATACTATTACGGCAGACAGGAGAATTCTGTGACCTGAAGCCCCTGGCATTTTTAGATTTGGGGGTTCTTGGATTCCCTGTAGAGTGTAGTGAGTAGGATCCAGTCAGTGACTTGGGCACATTGCTTAGCCTATCCGGGCCTCAGTTTCTTTAGCTGTTTTATGGGCACAGCAGGAGTACCCACCTCATAGGGTTGGCCCTGGAGTCAACTGGCTCGCATGTACAGCAGCAGCAGCACACCCCTGGCACATACTGCGTGCTCAGTACACACGGGGTATCGTCTTGGCTGCTCTGTTGTAATTGTAAATTGGAGGCTACTGAGATGGTAACTCTAGCATCCTGGGGCTCTCAGGGCCCCCGCTCTTCCCTCCCATGTGCCCACACTCAATCCTGGGGCCCTCCTTGGCCCAGCCAGGGCCTCTTCCCATTGGCATCTGAGGCCCCTGCCCCCCATCATTCAGGGAGGTGCCCGCTCTGCTGTGGCAGTCAGGCTGTGGGGGTGTGTGGGGGGGCCTGGGGTAGGGGTGAGACCCGGAGGACCACCTCTCCACTGTCTCCTTCCCACGTCTTCTTAGCAATCACTTCCTCCTTCTATTTCAGAGCATCATCTGACCTCACTCACCCACTGCCCCTCCTACAGTCTGGTGATCAGGGAGGAGGAAGACCAGGGCCCTACAGGGGGGCCCTAGCTTCGTGGGTCCCCACTCACCCTGCTGTGCCTGTCTCCAGCTCAGAGCAGGGCTCTTACCCCAAACCAGGATGCCTGGGTTTTGGTCAGACTCAGGTCCGGGTCCAAGGAGTGCTCCAGGGCTGGGATGACAGGGGACGTGTAGACCAGGGCATACCCGAAGCTGAAATTGCCCAGCACGGCGGCAAAGGTGGCCAGGAACACCCTCTTGTTCTGTGGGGCCCTGGTGGTGGGGTGGGGGGGGCAGGCAGAGTGATGAGGTCTTGGAGCTCCTCCGCCCCCCGTGGCTGAAAGGCTGCGGGTCCTGAGCCCAGTGGCTGTCGGCTCGGGCTCGGAGGGCAGCGCTGGGTTGGGCCAGGCTGAGGGCTCCCAGAGCTTGTGTCATCTCGCTTGGAGAATCCCCAGGACAGTCCCCAAAGCCCACCCCCGTGGCTGAGACACGGGTAAAGGGTACTTCTCTCTAGCAGAGGAGGCTTGCCTTCTGGTGGCACCCTTGCCTCTGAAGCTTGCTGTGTGACCTTAGGCAAGCAAGTCCCTTGCCCTCTCTGGGCTTCCTTCATCCTGGCTGAGCCAGCTGGGGGCTGGGCCTGCTACGGGGGGAGAACAGCTCCTTAAATAGGACTAGGGTGTCTGGGGCAGAAGGGGGCCAGACGGACCTTGGCCGGACACTCACGGAAGGTCAGAGAAGGCCCAAGGCGGAAGCCGGCCCCTACCCGCAGCCCCCATGCCCCGCGACTCTCACCCGACCCGCGTCCTCTCCCCCGGCGACGGGGACTTCTCAGGGAAAGTGTCGTAGTCCGGGCCCTCGGCTCCCAGCAGCGGCTCCTGCATGGCCGCCCCTGCTCGCAGTGTCCGTGCGGCCGCCGAGGGGCAGGGTGCTGGAGGACAGCTCCGGCCGGGAGACGCTCCGGGCCGCCCCGGCTCCGAGCATCCGGCGCAGGCTGCAGCTCCACCCCTCGGCCGCGATTGGCTGCGAGGCGGCCCTGCGGAGCCGGCGCCGGCCAATGGGGCCGCGGCGAGCGGTGCGGAGCCTCGGATGCGGATGCTCGGATGCGGATGCTCGGATGCGGGCGCGGCTCCGGGGCGGGGACGGGCGGCGTGCGGGGCTCGGCCGGGCTCTCCCCGGGCGCGGGCCCCGGGGTACGGGGGGGCGGGGCTCTGTCGGGGCTTTCCTGGGGCGCGGGCCCGGGGGCGGAGCGCGGGCGGGCTTTCCCGGGGCGCGGGCCCGGGGTGGGTCGGGGCGCGGGCTGGGGTGCGGGGCTCTGTCGGGGCTTTCCTGGGGCGCGGGCCCGGGAGCGGAGCGCGGGCGGGCTTTCCCGGGGCGCGGGCGGGGGTGGGCAGGGTGCGGGGCTCCGCGGGGCTTTCCTGAGGCGCGGACCCCGGGGCGGGGCCAGGTTTTAAATAGGCGTGATCCGCACCTCGTGCTCCCCGGGAGACCCCTCAGCTGGCCCTTCAGATGGGAGCCCCCGGACCCGCACCCGAGGGAAGAGGAGCGATAGACGCAGAGGCCCTGCGGATTCGTCCGTGTCCACGTCTGGGTGGGATACCAGCACCCACCCCAGACCCAGCTCTATAGGCTGGAGGAAGACATGCCCAGAGAGGCTTAGCGACTCCCCAAGGTCACACGGAGTACCGTTGTTTCCCTCCAAAGGAAGGCCTTGCGCTCTGCCTTCCTGGACTCCCTCCCTGCTACATCGTGTGCTGGAGTCACGCCTGGCCCTGCCCCTCCCCTCCAGGGGTGAACTGATATCTGGCTGAGGAGTGCCCATGACAGCATCCCGCATCCCGGACAGCCAGAGGGGGTGTGGGGTGGAGGCCCAGGGAGGAGGGGGCGGTGGTCCCAGTGGCACAGATTTGTATATTTTCCCCATTTCTGGCTCTGTTTTATGGCAGAAATAAGTTGGGCTTGTTGAGAATCATCCAGGTGATAAGATAAATTAAAAAACAAGAAAAGCAGAAATAGAGTATTCCCTGGAGGCTCACCCTCAAACAGTAACACAGTCCACTAGTACCCGCTCTCCCCGTGGACTTTTCCAGAGAGGGGCTGGCTCACACCCTGTTCTGCTGCATGGATGTGCCACGTGTGTGTGTGTTTTTTTTTTAACTGATCCTTTGTTGTTGAGCATTTGGGTTATTTCCAAATTTTAGCTATTAAAACAGTAAATCGTTTTTTAAAAAATTTTTTAATTAAAAGATTTTTATTTATTTGTCTGAGAGAGAGAGAGGGAACACATGCGAGAGCAAGGGGAGCGGCAGAGGCAGAGGGAGACTCTCAAGTAGATGCCCTGATGAGTACAGGACTCAATCCCACAACCCTGAGATCAGACCTGAGCCAAAATCAAGAGTGGGCTGCCCAACCTGACTGAGCCTGCCGGGTGCCCCCAGTAAATTTTTTTTTTTAAGATTTTATTTATTTATTTGACAGAGAGAGACACGGTGAGAGAGGGAACACAAGCACGGGGAGCAGCAGAGGGAGAGGGAGAAGCAGGCTTCCCGCAGAGCAGGGAGCCGATGCGGGCTCGATCCCAGGACCCTGGGACCTTGACCTGAGCTGAAGGCAGACGCTTAACGACTGAGCCACCCAGGCGCCTGCCCCCCCCACACCAGTAAATTGTTTTTAAAAGTATCCTATAATTCCCTTTTGCTATCAAAATACAACAAGTAGAACAATGGAGAAAGCATGCTCGGGAAAACCACATCCATCACTCTGCTGGCACTCTGGTGTCCTTCCCCACGTGGGTCCGTTCTGCATATTTTCGCGTTGTGTGTGTGTGTGCACAATTGTGTGACCACTTACAGCACATTTTCAGCATTTTCCTGCTGTAAAGGACCTAGGCTTTGGATCCAGGCAGAGCCAAAAAACGGTGACTCCTGTTGCTAACTCGGAGCAGTCCACGTAACCATGTTTTATCAATTGAGATGTAATAGTGGTTTGCTCAGGAATCTCCTTCATGGACATTAAGGCTATCTCGCACATGTGTGCTTGTTTTTTTATTTATTTGTTGACAGAAAGAGACAGAGAGGGAACACAAGCAGGGGGAGTGGGAGAGGGAGAAGCAGGCTGCCGGCAGAGCAGGGAGCCCAATGCGGGGCTCGATCCCAGGACCCTGGGATCATGACGTGAGCCGAAGGCAGACGCTTAACCGACTGAGCCACCCAGGCACCCCCACATGTGTGCTTTTAAAATTAGTAATTCACTGACCATCTTTGTCCTTAGAGGATGATTTCCTTCAGCAAAAGCATGTTTCTCCAGTCCTCAGGCCTCTTTTAACCACCACGCCCTGCACCCCTATTGGGTGGCTTGGGCCTTCTCTCCTGCCACCTGGGTCTGCCCCATATGGGCTGCTTGGGGACCTGGCCTCTGGAGCAGAGCGGGGCTCTCCTCTTCCCTGCCCGTTCCGGTGCCTGGCCCAGCATAGGCACACAGCGGTGCCAGGAGGCCCCTAGTCGATTTGCATTCAGAGCCCTCCCCTCTCCCTTAGCTTCTCCCAGCCCCCAGCAGGGAAGTCTTTGCTCAGAAGCAGCAGAAAGCACTGGTCTGGGAGTCGGCACCTGGATCTGCTTCCCCTCTCCGGCCAGGCAGGACACACCCACTGCAGGGGCTGGGTCCCTCATTTCCCCGCCCCCCAGCTCCAATCCCTCCCTGAGGGAGGCCCCAAGGAGGGTGGGTTCTTTAGAGGAAGGGCCCCTAGTTGAACCACTCAAGCTGCCACTGGTCTGGGCCTGCACTGGGTAAGGTGGCAGCTCTGGGGTTTGGGAGCTACCACCCTGGTCAGAAGGTAAATTCCCGCAGAGCTGCCAGGGTTGGGGAGGGGCTGGGCAGAGACCACCCCCGACTCTCAGGCTCCTGCACGGTCTCCATCCCTGGCTGCTCCAGGGCACCGGAGCTTAGCAGAGGGCCTGTGCACAGTCTGCCCCATACAGGGGAGGAGCCTGGGGACCCGGTCTCAGGCTGCTGTGACCACCTTTGCCAACCTCTGGGACTTCTCGAGAACCCTGCCTTCTCTGAGCTGTAGGATGGCTGTAACCTGGTGCCCCCCTCCCGGGCTGCTGGTGGGCACAGGGCAGCTGGGCAGGCCTTGATGGAGCTCCTGCAGTCTGACAAAGGTCCCTCCAGACCAGGCTTCCAAGGGCCCAAGAAACTGGCTGAGCTGCATTCCAGACCTGCTGGCACAAGGACAAAGGTCTCAGAGGGGGGCTGTGGTGCTGAACCTGACTTTCTAGCCCCAGCCATCTCAAGAGGGAAGGTAAGGGGGTGGGAGGAGATGCCCAGACCCAGGCCCTACTGTCTCATCTGGTCCCTATCTTCCCCGGTGGCCTTCTGCATCCCAGTGTTACAGAGGAGAAAACAGAGCCTCGGGGAGTCACTGGCCAGGGTTACCTCTGGGGCATCTCCTGGCCCCGGCTCCTGCTATGTCTGGAGGGCCCCCGAGGGGAGAGGGATGGGAGGGACCGACAGAGAGGGGACCACTTCCCTCGTCTCCTCCTTCCCACAGATGGGCCGGCCAGAGCCCCCAGGGGAGAAGGTTTCTGACACCCAGCTGTCTGGCGCCCCTGCCGCCCTCCATCATGCCCTTGGCCATGCCATCCCTGGCCCCGAGGACTCGGACCTGGTGCCCTCTGTGACCCTGGCTGCAGCCCTGGTCCTGCTGTTCCTCCTGCTCTTGGCCTGGCTGGTGTGGGACAGGCCCCTCTGAGGTTCCTGCTAACATGGCTTCCTAGGCAGAGGATGGGGTATCCCTTGGCTGGGCCTGGCACGAGTCAGGAGTGGCAATGGGAGCAGAGCCAGGGACAGGGATTGGGGGGCAGGGGGTTGGAGGGTTGGAGGGTAAGAGTGTGGGGAGGTGACTGGGCCTCCCAGCCACACCCTGGACCAAACCCCGTGACCTTTGTTTATGGCAGTCCCCAGGGAACCCCAGGAATTCCCCAAGGCCCCCCCGCCCTGCTGGAGGCAGGAACCCAGACGAGCCCTGGCCTCTGCTGTCCAGCGCCACAGCTGGAGCATCATGCCTCCAGATGGCCGCGGAGCGTGGGCTAAGAGCCTGGGGCAGCCAAAAGTGCTCAGGCAGGCAGGGCTCAAATCCACTTCATGCCGGTTTCCTGCAGGGTGGGGGTCCCCATCTTTGCATGACCATCCTGGGTGCTGCAAAGAAAGCCAGGTGACCCCTGGGCATCTGTGGGATGAAGCAAAGGGAGTCGGGAAATGAGAGTTCCAGCCCAGGCTACGTCCGTGACGGGCTGGGACAGTGGATGACGTCCTTCTCCATTCTGGGCCTCAGCTTCCTCAGGCATCAAGTGAGGATGGGCGTACCTATTTCTGTGCATGGTTCTGAGGCTGGCCAGTGGGTAGGCACTCTGTGGTCACCTCTGCAGCCCACACTCTCCCTTTGGCCAGGGACCCTCGGAGGAAGCCCCCCTCCCCGGAGGCGGAGGCCACAGGAGCAGGGATGCGCTGGTCTTGGCCGCCACCTGGTGGCTAAAGTAGGAATGGCATCATCTGTCGTTCGATCCCCTTGGGCTCCTCCTGGCAGAGGAGGGGAACGTGTTTTATTTTTTTAAGGGGAAGCATTTGAGATTGTGGATAAGCACAAGTCTTGTTACTTAGAGAGAACTTCTTTTACCATGTGCTGTTTATCTTTGTTCTCTTCATTTCTGCATCTATAATTTTACCAAAAAAAAAAAAAAATCATCAGGAAGAGGGTGGAGGGGGCAGGTGAGGTGGAGGGGGGTGGTGACGGTCAAGCCCAGGGTCGTGGATGTCCTCCTGCCCCATGGGGGCCCTGTTTCGGAGCCTGACAAAGGAAGACATGCATTTCTGAGGATGGGAGGGGCGTGGGACATTCAGGTTGGGACTGGCGGTCCTCATAGAACAAATGTTTACCAAGACATCGTGTGCCAGACATGGGAAGGAAGGAAGGAAGGAAGGAAAGGGG